CCAGCAGAGCCCCAAAGCTTAGATACGTACTTTATTCTTCACGATGAAATCTCTTTTAAAATGGAACTTCGAAAAAAAGTTAAAACTAATGGCTACAATAAACCAAAACAGGCAGAAGGTAGTGAGATAGGAAAAACGTAATAATATTGAGCACGTTCCTGGAGTGTCAAAAAACGATTTTTGCTGACTATTGTATAAAGTGAGAATTCTCATCTATTTCTTTATAAATTAAAGGTCAAGTAAAAAGACTTTTTGTATACCTTTCTAAATTACATACATATATTTTAAATTAATTAAGTCAAAGTTTTAATTGGGAGTTCAAAATTACAAACTTATGACAATTTTTAAGATTATTAAAAGGTTGTTTATGTTTTTATTAAGAAATAAAAATAAAAAGAATGAACATGATCCCATACAAATTAATTTCAAAAACCTTTCAAGGTTCAGATTAAATAAAATGGTTTAGCCTAGAAAATTAAGACTATTTAAAGTTCTAGAAATATAAAAAAAACTGTATGAAAAAACTCAATGAAATTATTACCTTTTTCTTTAATTTTTGCTTTTAAAAGTAGAACAAGACTTCCGAAAAGTTAAAACTGTGCAAGCACAATTCTTTGAATACAAATTACCCTTAATTCTTTAATTAACAAACGACCACTGTAATTTAGAGTGAACCAGAAAAACAACTGAATTTTCTTATAAACCTTAAAACAACGAAAAACTTGTTCGACAAAATTGCAATTACAAATAAAAGTTTCTCAGAAGTGAACGAAACACACAAAAAAAAGAGGAAAACAAGTTGGAACTGTTCTAGTCACAGCAACACAGCAGCAGAAACAACTAGAAAAGCCACAAACACTAATAGTTGCTAAATAACACAAATATTCAGCTTTTAGCATTTAGTTGTTCTTTTTGTGAGCTTGTGATTCGTATTTTTTGTATTTTGTGAGTGGGCCCCGGCAGCATTCTAAGCGATTGTGATTGAGAACTCCCCTGAAGCGTTTATTCATTGGCAGTAGGCGACTTGTTTTGGCCAATAATTCCATGACTTGTTCCAAGGCTGGGCCCCAGTCGTGAGATTATCGCCTGGTCGCAGCGAAATTCGTTTGTTTGAACAGCTTTTTACTCGATTAATTCGGTTCTTATGGATGGTATATAGCGTACATATAGTATGACGAAACGAAAACCAGAGACAGTGGCAAGTGTTGTCACAATTGTAACAGAGATGTCACGGGATCGTTTTCAAGCTCTTGAAGCACTCGAAAAAGGTTCTTGAACTTTACGATGAAATATATTAAAAACCAACAAGAAAGAAAGTGTGGGGGTTGTTGCCGCGATTTCCATACATACATATTTATAGCCATGTAGAGATCTTGATCTTGGGACAATAACACTTTTTATGTGTGTATGGTGTGTATATTTCCCTTTCTATTCATTGTTTTCATTGCGAATTCTCACGCACTTCGCACATAAATTTTCGTATGATTTATGATCACGCGGCCTTTTGCCTTTGTGTGCAAAGTGGATCAGGTCAGTGGATTGCTAATCAGCTAATCAGATCACCGCGATCGCTCCTGAAAAAAATAAACCTAGGCCCATTGCCAGATCGCACTTTCCCAAGGCACGTTTTCGAGGCCTCATGTCTGGATCATTTCGGAATATATCGGAATATACATATGCACCTGTCTGCGTTGGTGCCAAATCGATGTTGTTATGCCCGCTGTTTGCGTGTCTGACATATTCAATTTGAATATTGTTTATTCGCCAGTCCCGCTTCCACTCTCTCTGGCCTGCTGTTTCGCTTTTTTCTAGTCTGCAGTTGACAACTTGCGACTTTTACTTGCGATCGACGATCAACGATCAGCAATCGACGCTGACCCAAAAAGCGGATTGAATGCGATTGCAAACTGCGAACTGCGACTCTCTCGGTGAGGCCTTAATAAATAAAAACAATTCTGTTTTTGCAAGTGTCATTCTGCACCCAGTGGGTTCATCACAAAGTGGGGTATAATGGACTGGAAAATCAACTTTCAATAAATTTCTGGCAGAATATTTTTGGATTTTTAAAACCAGGGAAAATATAAAAATACTCTTTTAATTGTACCATAAATCATTCTTTAAAAGACTATTAGCATTTTCTAATGAATTGTAGCAGTATCAGAAAACAAATGTTATTCTGCTTATATCACTTGTTTCAATGATGTATGCTCCCAACATAGTTGAGGTATCTAATGATTCATATACACAAAATTAAACCATTTAAATAGCTGACTCAGTTGGAATTTTAAATTGTTGCCAATTAAACTGTTTCGACATCTAACTAAAATCCGTAACGTCCCATATATGTCAACTTAATTAATTCCATAACTATCCTTATTTGTGGCAAGTGATTCATGTGAAAAAGGTGAATCAGTGCAAATGAATAATGTAGATGGAGTGCTTGAAAAAATATTAAGAAGAATTGGTTGCTTTTTAAAATGCAAACCTTATTTAATTTAATAGTTGTAGTGTTAATACGTAGATTCTGAATTAAATGTATGTTATCTTGGGTATACAACAGTCTATAATTTTCCAAAACTTATAGTTCTGTATGGATTCGCTCTCTCTTTCGCATTGTGTCTGTCTTACTGGCTTTCTAACCCCAACAATTGCCAGTCATAAACTGTGTATTCTATGAATTGTTTTTATGACAACCGCGCTTTGAAGGGCATTCTCAATCGTTGACGTTCCGAAACGCTGCGGTCCCACGGAGCGTATACGCAATACGTGAACAATAAATGTGGCTTTGCTAAAGGAAATGTCACCGTGAACAAATTGCAATTATTATCGAACAAAATGCTTTATCGTAGGCTCCAACGTTAACTCGGAATTGTGACAACAACAAAAAAAACTAACTAAAATAGAAGAATGTAGCCGCGCGACGCGACACATGAAATTCCAAAACTAAACCAAAGATAAAATGGCAAAGAACGATGCGAAGAAGCAGATCGTAAATAAATTAATAAACCCAATCAAAAAACATCGAAACGACAACAAACCAATTCAATTTGCAAATGAATAAACGAAAGTAACCAAACAAAGCGAAGAATAGCTAACACAAAGGGGGAAATTTCAATAATAACAATAAAAATACAATTGCATGACGACGGTGAAGGCGAAAGTAACCGCCATCGTCGCTAACCCTCTTCACCCCCGAATTGCATGAAGAACACAAGAAACCACAATGTCCAGGTGTGAGAACCACAAGTCCCGCCGCCAGCAGCTGCCCGTTCCAGCGCCCCTGTCCTCCTCCTCCTCGTCCCGCTCGCAAGGCCACCGCGTCCACTCCAGTAACTCGGATCTGGGCGGCAGCGAGTCCTTCCTGCAATATTGCAGTGATAGCGAAAAGAGGCCACCGCCCATTGTGGTGGTGGTGGGCGATGGACGGAGCAGAGTGCGGCGGGTGGTGCGCACCGCCACGAGGCACGTCACCGTGGTCAGTCTGTCCACCCGGCACAAGGAGACCCAGACGCACACCTCGCACCATGTGACGGCTGTCAGGTAAGCAAGCGCCACATCGCGACCAAGAGCACAGTCCCCAGATCCCGATACCGATTTCGATCCAGCTGTGCAGGCACTCAAAAAAAAAAGCAGGGACCTATAAAAATAATCATTATTTTTACATCTATTTTTGAAAGCCTTCTGTATTTTCCTTTTATAAAAGTGGTTTTACTCTTGTCCTCAAAAGAATTTAAAATCATTATATCGTTGGTTTATATATAAACTTAAAATCCCAGTAGTCTTTCAAAAACAAAAGTCTGAAATAACTATTATTTTCTGTCCCTCAAACAAGTCTTTAAAAGTATACGCAAAAACTTGTTGGCGAATTATGCTATATTATTCAAATATATCTAGGTCTTAGCCTAAACGATAAGGAAATTATATGTAAGTAGGTTAATTGCTATTAGGATTTGAATATTCCAATGGGATAACTTGTAAATCATATATTATTAAGGCCTTTTATTTGTTGCTTAAAAGGTGTAAACACATGACATTTTGCAACTTTACATACAATTATTTCGAATAGAAAGTTAAATATTTCATTAGATAAAAACAAACAATATCATGAAATTTATATTTTACTAAAAATTTGTTTTTTAAAGATTTTTCGAAAGCTTTCCTTAAGGTGGGTGCTCAAAAACGATGACCTGTCTTTCGTTAAAGATTAACTAGGGGCTAAACCTTTAAGATAATAAGCTCACATATATTTAAAATTAATAACAATTGTTTTGAGTGCAATTCTTATCGCTCCCATTCGTTATTATCCGTTATCTTTATGGGTCCCCGACATTGTTCTTGGGCAGCCGTTGTATGAGCTGACTATTCTTGGCCCAGCCAGAAAGTATCGACCGAGATAAACCCACTCACTTATTTATTAATACGATTGGTATCAGAGTGTACTGTAAATATTTATTGCTGGATGCTTAAGTTTTAAAATTTCGTTGAACTCTTTAAAATAAATTTTCTTTTAAGGAAATTTAATGGGAATTAAGTAAAAATTTATTGATACAACAATAAGTGATTTGACAAGCCTTCACAGAAGGTTTATACCTAATTAAGAATGCTTTGCTTAAATATAAAAATTGGCCAAAGTGGAGTTAGGTTTGAAACTTGTCTAGTATGTGGATTCTATTTGAATCGAGATCAGCTACGTTATTTTTTATAAAGCAGAAATTGTTGCATAATTTTAGGGTTTAAATATCACGTACAAAGGTAAATGTAAGTTACATGCGGTCCACAAGTAAAATTCATGTAAAATTATAATAAGAGTTATTTTATATGAAAATCAAATAAAATAAATTAAATACTAAAAAAGTTGGTAGCAAAGTAAATTTATTAAAATATGGAAAACAAAGAAACTTGATATATTTAACAAGTTTTTAATGGGGGTGAATTGAAAATGTTAAAATTAAAAACCAGTTGGAACTTAATTACGAAAATCAAATCTTCCAAAACTTATCTGTCACTTTGAGTTTTGTATATCTAAATTTTTGTAAATTTTTTGCCGCCACTTGTCAACGTTAAGCGGAAAAACTTAAAAAGACACAATGGAGTCAACAATTATACACAACCTAAAAAAAATCGAAGAGTTCAAGCAATTTGATGTGACTTATTTTCTGATCATCTACGCTTGCGTTGTCCTTATGGTCCTGGGTGTTCCTTTGGCTATATTGTTGCAAAGCAAGGATTCGCCAAACGAGAGGAGTCTATATCAATTGGAGGCCAATCAATCTCGTGAGGATCCAGTGAGGGGAGGAGAAGCCCGGCGACGAAATCGGGATTCAAACGCCTAATAAGCTCTTAATATTGTTGTTGATATTCATGGAAATACATTGAATGCGAAGCAGCGGTCCGTTTGTAGTTCTTTTCCTAGCCCCCAACCCCAAATGTCTGGCCCGCTTGTGGCACACTCCATAAGCGTTAAGCCCCCTTTCAAAATGCACATAAAAAAGCCGAGAAATCTAATGTAAAATCAATAATAATTACGCCGAGTAGGCCATCAGCGGTTGGGTCACGTCAACCGACTTGGACACTTGTTGCATACAAAATCAGGAGGAAGTCCGCTGCAGTTTTGGCTCGCGAGCGTCGACGGCTAAGTGTCAGCTGAGATACAAGATACCAGATACTCAGATACACAGATACTTGCCTGTTGGTTGGTCAAACAGACGGACAGTCATTTAACTTGAGCTCCAACATGTGCAATGTGCAACGGCAAACAATTAGGGCGACGTGTGGCAGATGTTTTTCCTTCTCGAAAGCAGGACTCTTAAAAAATCAGAGGGATGCGCGGAGTAGTGGCTACAATAACAAGCCAGTTCAACAGGCGAAACTACCTGCCGTTGTTGTCCTTTCAAAAACTGAAAATAAAATAAAAACCCATACAAAGCCGCGCCAGGTGCAGCTGGAAAACTGGCAAAAGAAAGAAAAGGAGATAGATATAGCAAGGATGCCCCTTTCAATTTTCTGTTTTCGTTATCCTTCGACAATCCTGCTGATCCTGTTTTTCTCCGACTCTTGCTAGGTGCAAATATGCAGCTGCCCTCGAGTTGTTAATGTCGATCTTTTGGGTTGGTCCCGCTGCGACGAGAATTCTGGTAGTCATTCGTATTGCATACGTGGATAATGAATTATCTGGGTTTTTCTGGCAAATCGAATTATGATTTCAGGGTAATCTATCTAGTCTTTAAGCTAAGGGAAAATCAATTAAGTGTTAAGGTGAATAGATAAACGGGAGAGTAGTTTTCTATGCGTTAGTAATTCGGGTTTGAGGCATAACAAATCAACATAAATCTTCTAAACATTTAAGGGAATAAATTAATGAAAACTGAAATTACTGATACTTTCCCCTTAATTACTATAATAAAAAAGCTTACTTAAATATTTATTTAACAAATTTAAAGGAATTGATAACTAAATAATGTATCTATAAATATGTATAGAAATTAACCTTCTATCTTGAATTGGTATTCCTATTATTGGTGATTTCATTTCTTCAATTTTCTGCAAATTCTCTTATCCGTAATATATCACTGCTAAAAATCTCCTTTATTATCTCCCCAATTGTTGCTTCAATCCAATAGCATCGAGGGTCCCTGTCCTGATCAATAAGTTTGTCATCGAGGGCTAATCATTTCCTTCACTTTCCTTACAACATATGGCAGTGCTTCTTCTCTCTTTCTTTCTCTCTACCTGTCCTTCTATATCTTTTCAATAATGGATCCTTTTACGCTTAGGATGTCTATATATTTTTTCCGCTTTCTTTGTGTAGGGGTAGAACAATTGTTCTTTTTTGGGTAACCCGACGAGGGCAAAACAAAACAGATGCATTTCGTGTGGGATTTTTTTTGTTATATGTGTGTGTAGGTGTAGAATGATCACTCACACGCACACTTATTTAATGAGCCATGCGAAACACGTTTTCAGAGGAAGTGAGACGGGTCGAGAGTGTGAAAGAGAAAGAGAGAGGGGCCACCGACGCGCTTGCGCAGTTTGGTTCTTCCTGAAGTATACGCTTGTGGATCGTCGATCAAATTGTAAAGTGGTCGTCGAGCGCTCGGTTTAGTTGAAAAGCGAACATCGTCGGGATCGGACGTTACCCTGGCCCCACTATATTCCCACCTATATCGTTCCCTTCCGCCGGTTTTTAGTGCTTCCTCTAACCTCTCTCCAACCGACCGACATTTAATTTGAATATCATTGTGAAGCGATCGCGCGTAGCGTATTAATTAATATCTAGCGGCGATCTTGTGATTCTCTCAGTCTATAACAGTGCCTCAATGTGTCTCTGAAAAACCACACCACCGCCTGGGTGCATAAATCTTGAGCGTTTTGTGATATTTTTTGTTCACCATGATCATTTGCATATCGGGTTTTATAATTGGCGAAAGGTAGGAACCCATTGCCTGACCCAGAAAACGAAAGTTCTCTTATCTTCTACTTTAGATAAAAACAAACAAAGCTTGGTTTTTTTTTTTATCGAATTTGGAAATTCCTAAGAGGAACCATTATTTATATGGCATTAAGACTGCCTGGATTACCTATTTTAAATTTTACTAATGTGATTCTATCGAAAACCATAATTTTCATTCTGTAATACTATTTTGATTTGATATTTGGGTCACTAGTCACAATAAATATTAAATCTTTAACTATTTAAATTAAAACTAACAGTTTTTTTAAAATCAATTTATATAAATTTAACAGAATTGCAGACCAATTATTGCTAATTCAAGAGCAACACTTGTGTTTGAAAAGTTTGTCGATTTTGATAGCGAAATCGAACGATAATGAATTATAAGTTATAAGTTATTGTTTTAAGGGTAGGAAGTGACTGCTTCACCTGTATAATAATCTCTTCGGGAATACTGATAGAGCCACTTTATTTACCAACAACTTCTTTCCCTCTTCCACTTGCAGCTTTCCCCAAAAGAGCCTCGAGCGGAGCGGCTCCACCCAGTATGAACTGGCTGGAGCGCAACAGCCAGGATCTGCCAACAGCACCACCTGCACAGATAGCGGCAGTGTCGGCGGCTATGTATACCTGCAGAATCACTACGCCCCCGGCGCCCACAGCAACTCAGCCGCCATCAACTATCCTGCGCAACAGCATCCCCAGATGGTCTACCAGATCCAGCAGTATCCCACGTGCCATCAGCAGCAGCAACAACAGCACCTCCAACAGCAACAGCAGCAGCAGCATTTGCACCAGACCAGCGGAGGTCACTACATGCAGGTCACGGCGGCGGGTGGCCAGTACCACCACCATCACATGCTCCACGGCCACGGGCATCATGTCCACCATCATGGTCACGGTGGAGCGGTGGTCATCGCCGGCAGTGGCGTGGGAACTGGCCTGGGATCCGGAGCCACCAGTGTGATCATGCAGCACCAGCAACAGCAGCAGCAGCAACAGAATATGCACAAGAAGAACTCCATCCGGAATGGCGGGGATGTCCTCAAGCGCACGCGAGCTCAGTCAGCGTAAGTACTTCCTCGCCTCCAGAGGATGTTGACATTAGGGGTGGAATCAGGGGGAGTTATCTGGGAATTATGAGCAGGAATAAATGTGTACTTTACGGGGGACCAAGGAAGATTTCCGGGAAGCATTCGTTATCGAAATGTATTATTTGGAGGCATAATATGGGAGGTTTTTTCAAACAATGTTGTATCAAAATGTGTATTTTAGAAGGAGATTATTAGAGGCATCGCCACAATAAACTGTAATGAAGAACAGATGGTTTTCAAAGTTTTAATCAGATCAAATATAAGTATCCATTATTCAGTATAGCCTCTATATATAGTACATTTTGAATTACACTTTTAGTTGAGAAGCATTACCTTTAAATTCAAGATGTTAATTAGTTTCTGGTTTTATCAAAAGACTTTCAGCGCAAAAAATATTACGCGTTAGCATATAGAATCCATTTAAACGCTATAAATATAAAATGATTACTTCATCGAAGAGTGAAGCTTATTTTTAGACTAGGATTGTTTATACTTTGTAATCTTTTTTTGCATAGTGACTTTAAAGTTGATTAGCTATTTTAATTCAATTAATTTTATCGGAGATGTGTGCTTATCAGTTCTTAGAGATATTTCTAAAAAATCAGCAAATAACTAATCATTATTCACAGTCATACGCTTATCAGCTATAAAAAAATGCTCATGATTAAAAATTCATTATCTGGAGAATGCGCTGTATACAAACAAAATACGTATGGCAATGCTTAGTTTTGATTTCTGTGTTTAAATTTGCTTAACATTGAACTCAAAATGATTCGCCTTTGAAGGGTGACAGATTTTGGTAAACGTTAATTGCCTACTTAAAGCATTTCGCCATTTCTTGTGTAAACAATCCATCAAGCTGAAGGGTAGCAACAGAAGCTCATCGCTTATCTAACTAGTTATCTGTAAAAGTAAAAGTGTGCCTTGGGGATTGACCATTCGTCAGCTAAATGAAATGAGTTCGGACTTTGTTCGCTCGTTGGGCTTTTGAATAATAATCATCTGGATATACAGGCGGTATCTTAGATTAGGCGCCGTGCCAAGATAGCTGCGTAATGGCAAATATTTGTACCACTGCAGTAAATCATCAGATGTCTGGACGAACAGAATTTAGCGGGGACAATTATGCAGCTGACTTTTAAAATTATAAGGGGGGAGTCATGAGTTTGCAAATCCGGGAATGTCCCAGAATTGACTTTTTTAATGGCAGTTTTATGGCAACTATGCTGACTAATTTGAACTGTCTGAAGATGGAGTATCAATCGAAATAACCGATTGCTTGTGGCGCGAGGCACACAACAATAAGCAATATTATTGCCGCCGCTCGAGAAGCGAATGGTAATCAGGTCGATAGCCCAGAGGGGCGACAGTGACAACGCCAGAGCGTTGTATTTCAAAGATACTCGGGCGCTATCTTATCGGGCGGGGCAAAACATTCGGTCTCCGGCGTAGACTTTTTGCCAGTTATTTGCAAATTTCCAGCCAACCAAGCAGAGCGCACTTTCCAGCACACCGGATACCCAAGATACTTATCGGATATATCACTCCTCGATCTTCCACAGCTACGAACTCTCACAAGATCTGTTGGAGAAGCAGATCGAGCTGCTGGAGCGCAAGTACGGCGGAGTGCGAGCCCGCAACGCAGCGGTCACAATACAACGCGCCTTCCGCCACTACATGATGGTTAAGAAGTTCGCCTCGATCACAGCAATGGCAAAGGCCGAGAAGCGTCTCAGTCGACGGATGGTGGTGACGGCCAGTAGCTTGGGCTTGGCGGAGGAGGGTGCCTCCTCCTCGTCGGCCTACGGCAGTGCCACGGAATCTCAGCTCGCCGAGCAGCAGCAGCAACAACTGGCGACGGCACAGCAGCAGCAGCAACAACAGCAGCCACGTGTCACCATCATGGCGGGTCCGGCGGGAGCGGCTTCTCCGGGCTTATCCCGGACACCTCCAACACGATCGCTTTCCATGCGGGAGCGACGTCAGCTGGACTGCAGTCCCATACCGCGTAGTCAGTCAGGTGAGTAAAGATAAGCCAACACCCGTCACCGGGATATCAAATAGTGTGTCTAGAGTTGCATCAGTTTACGGTTTTCGGAAGAGAAAGATTAAAATTTCCTAACTTAATCAGTTGTGTACATCAGCCTAACTATCTCATCAATTAGAAAAATAGTAAACATGCAAAACAGTTTAGGTTTATGAACCTGAAGAGTTAATATATGTATTAAGTACCAATAGTAACGATTTTTGTTTCATGTCTTTGCATAAAGTTCTTCTGACCCTAAAGTTCCTCAAAAGTTCCAAGAGTTAATTTTATGTTATTGGTATACTTTATCTTTTTGAAGTGACCCTTTTGGTGACTTTTTAAAGCAAATATGAGCTTAGCGAACTCGAGGTCTTGAAAATTAAATGGAAATTGAAATGTAAACAAGATAATGTTGCGTTTTTCAAGTACCTACAGTAATTTAAATTTAATTAAATAAACATTTAGGTGTGCGATGTTTATTAACGAAATGTTCATCTGCAATCTTTTGTACTCACCAAAAAATACCAGGCATAAACAATTTTTGCGTCTTAACTTTGTTTTGTCAAACAGTATTAGGAATGTTGAGCTTATAAGGAAGGTCTTTGATCTCTTATCAAGGCATGTTTGATCTTATCAAAGCAATCAGAATAAAATTACTTTAGATTAGCATTTAGAAATTCAAATAATGACTTGTAAAGTGTTTTACAAGAAATCAGGCTAGGATTTACCTGACTTAGAACACTTTTATCCCAGGTGGCAACTAACTCTAAATATGAAATACAACTAACTTTTTGCCTATTTACAGGAGCTTCTCCCGCCTCCATATCCAGCTCGACAGTCAGCACTTCGGCTCTGGCCTCCCATCCGCATGTGAATCTGTTGCACGCGGCCGAACCGCATTATTACAATGCCCAGGCGCTGCCCACGGCTGCCTACTACACTAGTTACCATGGATCGCCGCACGATTTGAGCTATGCCAGCTCGGCGGACACCTCGCTAAATGCCTCGTGGGTGAACACCAGCGGCCACTCCCCGCACACACCCTACTATTCGGCAGCCCAAATATACATGCGACCCAAGGGCGGCAGCACCACGCCCACGCCCAGTTGCAGCGGCAGTACTGGAAGCGGTAGCGGGGGCAGCGGCAGTGGCAGCAACAAGAAGGTGCCGCCGGAGGTGCCCAAACGCACCAGCTCCATCACGGCCCAACAGCAGACGCAGCTTCTTTTGCTGCAACGCCAAACACCGCCGCCTCCTTCGCTTCTTAGGACCAATGGTCTGTGCAAAACCGCTGAGAACGGCAGCTTGACCTCCGTGCAGAGTTCCGGATCGGATTCGAGTGTTACCTCAGCGGAACGCAACCTCAATAGCGATTTGGGCTCCGATCGCAGCAACTCACCGCACACTTGGAAACGAGGAACAGCGTTGAATAGCTCCCAACAGTTCTCCACGCACTCGGCGGATTCAGCGGGTGCGGTATCAGGCGGAGGAGTTGGAGTGGCAGGAGGAGCCGGTGTCTATGCTGCCCAGATGCAGGCAGCCGTTGCAGCGGCCACGGCGGCAGGAGGATTGCCACCAGCCGATGATCATGCCATCTCCTCGCATACAAGTGCCGCTCAGTACGAGCAGCATGAGCAGCAGCAACACGAACAGCAGCAATTACAGGCGGCAGCTGCTGCGGCTGGAGTGGCCCAGAATTATAAGATGTCGGAGACGATACGCAAACGGCAGTATCGCGTTGGACTCAATCTGTTTAACAAGAAGCCGGAGAAGGGTATCACCTATCTGATCAGGCGAGGATTCCTCGAGAATACACCACAAGGTGTGGCTCGTTTCTTGATCACCCGTAAGGGTTTGTCCCGCCAGATGATCGGCGAGTATCTGGGCAATCTGCAGAACCAGTTCAACATGGCCGTGCTCAGTTGCTTTGCAATGGAGTTGGACCTGTCCGGACGCCAGGTGGATGTGGCTTTGCGAAAGTTCCAGGCCTATTTCCGCATGCCTGGCGAGGCACAGAAGATTGAGCGGCTGATGGAGATATTCTCGCAGCGCTACTGCGAGTGCAATGCGGACATCGTGGGGCGACTGAGATCATCTGATACGGTAGGTCTTTAAGCTTATTATAATTTAGTTCCCCTCTAATCATTTAATGTTTATTTTGGCAGATCTTTGTCCTGGCCTTTGCCATTATTATGCTGAACACGGATCTGCACACACCAAATCTTAAGCCGGAGCGTCGCATGCGCGTCGAGGACTTTATCAAGAACCTTCGCGGCATTGACGATTGCCATGACATCGACAAGGACATGCTGATGGGCATTTACGACCGCGTCAAGTCCGACGAATTCAAACCCGGCAGTGACCATGTCACCCAGGTGATGAAGGTCCAAGCCACCATTGTGGGAAAGAAACCAAATCTAGCGCTGCCCCATCGCCGCCTCGTCTGCTATTGCCGGCTGTACGAGATTCCCGACGTGAACAAGAAGGAACGACCTGGTGTGCATCAGCGCGAGGTGTTCCTGTTCAACGATCTGCTGGTCATTACCAAAATCTTTAGCAAAAAGAAGACCTCCGTGACGTACACATTCCGCAACAGTTTCCCGCTGTGCGGCACCGTTGTCACCCTGCTGGACATGCCCAACTATCCGTTCTGCATTCAGCTCTCCCAGAAGGTGGACGGCAAGATCCTTATCACCTTCAACGCCCGCAACGAACACGATCGCTGCAAGTTTGCCGAGGATCTCAAAGAGTCCATTAGCGAGATGGACGAGATGGAGTCACTGCGCATTGAGGCCGAGCTGGAGCGCCAGAAGTCGGCGCGCAATCGAGCCCCTGGCAATGCTGAGAATCGTGACAGTGGCGTGGCCGACGTGGAGGTCTGCCCCTGTCCCTATCAGCCGGGATCACAGGCGCCCGGCGAACAGCCTCCGAACTCTGCTGATTCCTCGCAACAACTCAAGCGCAGTGCGCTTAGCAACAGTCTCCTCGACATGCACGAGCAATGTGAGTTTACCTCATAAATAGATTGCTAAATAGCTTGTAAGCTTTTGAGTTAATCACTTTTGCTTTAAACTTATGATGAGCTAACTAAAACCTCATGATTAATGTATTAGAAAACAAGTATTATTTGTTATTAGATTTAACAAATTGTTTGACTTTACTGACTCGACTTGTATAATCTTCCAGTTGGCAATGAGAAACCTCAGCGACGAGGCAGCGTTGGCTCTCTGGACAGCGGCATGAGCATCTCGTTCCAGTCCACCACCACCTCCAGCGCCTCCAGGGAAAATGCCGCCGCGATTGCAGCCGCCGCTAATGCAGCTGCTGCAGCCAAGATGCGATTTAACATGCCACCAACGGCGGCGATCGCCACGCCTAGCAATGTATATGCCGCGCCGGGAATGCAAGCTTATACCCATGCCAACTTTGTGCAGCAAACGCAGGCCGCTTACATGCTGCAACAGCAGCAAATGCTCCAGCAGCAGGCACAAATGCAAGCTCAGGCACAGGCTCAAGCACAGGCTCAAGCGCAGGCTCAAGCTCAGGCTCAAGCGCAGGCGCAGCCACTAACTGGGCGTATACCGGGGCGCGAGCGGAAGGCTTCGCGCACGGATGAGAACGGACGGTCGACGGAGGTCTAAGTCATCTATTGTACATTTTAGTTACTGAGCAAAGCGATAATTATTAAATCTATATAGCATATAGAATGAAATATCTTGTATAATCCGAATCGAAACGAAACCGAACGCCATTTTCTTTGACACCTAACACACACAGCTTACGAGTATATAGTGAATTCTTAAATGTTCCTTCGTTTTCTGCTAATATTAATGTAAATATATTAAACATTTGTCTGTTTCACACTATCTACACACTAAAATAAGTTTCTAAAACTAATTGTATATACATCAGCATAATATTATACACCCACAATCTACGCAACTATTCTCTAAATATGCATATGTATTAATTGTGTAATTCTAATCTTTCTCCAGACTCTTTAAAACACCAATTTACCCTGGGCAACTTCTAGGCCCATCCCCCATTTTGATATAATCCTCTATGAATTACAAATGCGATTTATGAACGTAGTTTTATTAGCATATACTAACACCTTCCCCCTGTTAAGTGCGCGCTATGTATATTATATGTTTTCCTTACCCAACATTATGTTTGTGTAACTAAAAAATGAAGTTCGTATATACCGCGTGTGTGTGAATATACCCTGAATATTAATTTAAAAGCAATTAGCTATAATTATTCATATTTATAGAGCCAAAACTACCCAAAACCTAAAATATTAAATACGAGTATAACAAACACGAAGTATATGAAAACAAAACAATATGTATATGAAAAAGCAAAAGACTTAAAAATTTCAATAAATGAAAAGAAATAATACCAATGATCAGTTGATCGCATTTTTTATTTGCTGAGATATTACTTTTTTCAGGGACTGAAAATAAGAGTTCATGTTCAAACAAATTTAAAAAGAGTAATGTTATTAACTCTTTGGAAAAAATACATTATCTAATTGTGGTAAAGTGATGGGAACGATAGTTTAGGACCTTTTAATTTCAAGGGATTACATTTGAGATTCTGAGGGGCCTTCAAGGGAATTTCCTAGAAAAATCTTTTATTAACATCCAATCAATAAAAGCAAATGGTTTTCGTTTATATCGTTTTTATTGGTGATTCAACTTATTTTGTATTATTGCTGACTTTACTAATTAAGGCCTTGTACAAAATTATTGTATTTTTGTTTTTAAGTGCTAAATTCTAGGTTCGTAGTACATCTCTGTTCTGTTACGGTTCGTGTATAGATAGGATTGCATTTGGGCGTTGTTAGTATAAACAATTACTTTGAATAATGTACACAAAAGTAAGGATAACACATAGTATTTTTTGTGGATTTTTACATAAATCGGATTGCTTAGCCAGAAGCCGCTTGGCGGTGTGTCTGTGGTAGATAAGCAAAATACGAACTGGCATATGAAATAATAAGTATTAAAATTAATCTAAACGTATTTTGGCACTGTAAATAAAAGTTTGCTTCCGATAAAACCCTAAAACAAATACATACAAATTGCTGCTATCGAATGGGGAAAACAAATCGTAATAAATTACACAAGATTGCTTGCCAAATGCGGAGAGTAGATAACTCCTATCTAGACCCTAAGATTTTGTCGTTTGATTAAACTAAGAGGCTGTCGTCTCCGAAGTACCCACAGTGCTGATCTCTGTCGGGTCGGAGGCGATGCCCTTTTAGACCATGCCAAAGTCGGTGCAAACGGAGGCAGTTGGTCCCGCCGCCGCCGGCTGGTTGTTCTGCTGCTTTTCCTGCGCATTGTTTGCTGCCGCTGCCGCCGCCGCCGCTGCTGCCATATTGAGTTCCACCAGGGTATCAATGCTGTTGAGGCTCACACCCTGTAGGATCTTTCTCGCCGCCAGGGATGTAAAGTTAAATGACAAGTCGGTCAGACTGGGAAAATTGTACAGCTCCTCGCCGCCATTGGCCAACACGTTGCCCATTCCTTGCTCCAACGATTCCTTGGTCAAACTAAGACGCCTATCAATGGCCTCCTTATCAAAAGATTTATCGTTGGCCAGATCTTTTAGTGCCAAATTGGGTTCACTGCCCAAGGGATTACTGGACTTGTGGAGCAGATGAGCCAGCGCCAGTTCATCGCCATTCATGGAGCACTTTTGCAGCTGACACACGGACTCGTAGCACAGGTTCTTGAGGTCGGTACTACTGTTCATCATCATATTATTGCTCTGTGAGGCACCCACATCCTTGGAATTCTTCTCGTAAAAGTGCAGGTTGCCCACCGAGCCGGCAATCTCAAAATCCTGCTTGGCCAGCGCCGCCAACTTCAAAGGTGCATCTGCACTGGGCGAATTCGGCTGGGATTCATTCTTCAGCACATTGTTCTTATACGCAATACCATTGGCCAATTGGAGGCACAGTTTCCGGCTGTTATTCATGGTGGCATCGTTATTCGTGTTCTTGGCGTACTTCCCTCCATCGTAAATGGGAGTCTCCGGTTCCACGGCACACGTGTTCTCCGGGGAACTCTCACTGATGAAAGAGATGGAGTCGCAGGTCTCGGAATTGGCCTCCGTTTCGCTCAGTGGCTGCTCGGAAACGGTCTCCGGCTTAACTGGCGTCGAAGTGGCCACTGGAGCAGCCGAAGTCTGCTTGGACAAGGTTTTCTTAATTATCTCGCCCTTCTCGTTAGTCATCGTCTCATTATTGATGATGAACACATTAGAGTTCTCCAGCATTTTGCCATTTTCCAAAGTAATCACACTCCTAACTGGTGAGTTCTGCACAAAGATCTTGGTGCTGGGGATGCTTTGGTTCCCATTCGAGGTGGTCACTTGCAGGGTGATGGAATTGTTGCTACTGGAGGTGGGCACACCATTGCTGCTGCCTGCGGGATAGATCATCTCCTCCAGGATGCGACTTGGTGTGCTGGCCCTTTGCCTTTGCGCCTGTGCCTCTGCTACTCGTGCCCTCATGGCCTGATGACGTGGTGTCCCCCGTGGAGAACCATTCAGCAGAAGTATTGAACGAGAACTCCCGCCATTACTGATTGACGTTGGTGCTATCACTGCCGTATTGGTGGAGCACTGCGAGTCCAGACTAGAGTGGCCACTGGTCTTCTGGCTGAAGGACACCTTGCCGCTGTCGATGCTTGATGGACCACTGGCGAGCATCGAGGTCTTGCAGGACTCCAGGCTCGAGGGACCACTGCTCTGCAGGCTCCGGTACGTGGCCTTATTGTCCAGGCAGCTGTTGATGATCAGACCGTCCGTGTGGCGCTTGGCCGCCGTCGCTTTTAGCGTGGCGGATCGTGATGGCGAGCTCTCAAAGATGTGCTTCCCGATCACCGACTTTTGGGCCGTCTTTGGCGGCGTGGGCGTCACCGATCCACCGTGGCCATGACTCAAGCGGGACGAGTGATTCGTCTTGGCCGTGGTGGCCGGTATCGACTGCGTGGAACGAGGTAGCGAACTGCTGCAGTACACCGGCGATCGGCGGCGAATGGGCGAGCAGTCCCTGGAGGAAATCAGAAACGTCGACTCGCTCGACATGTGGCGCCGATGGCGACGGGGCAACGTTGAGGAGCGCTGGCTCAGCTCCGAGCCGTCGTAGAACGTCGAGTTGGACAGCGTGTGGGCCACTGGCATGTCCTGTGGAGGGAGTTAATGAAGGATTAAGTTAATAAAGGATTAAGTTAATAAAGGATTAAGTTAATATGGCTTATTTTATCATTTATCATTTATGGATTGCATACAACTAGCTGAAAAGAGAAGCCTTTCAAATATTATAAATCGATTAAGTTTAATTTAAGCTAACTTTTTGTATGTTATATTATACCTTCCACTATTAAAAACATAAATCGTTCTTATTTAAAAACTGCTTTAAATTACACAAGCTACCTAAATTCTATCATTTATATTTCTTACCTACCTAGAAAACTTTCATATCCAGTTTTCCAAGGCTAAATATAATATAGTCTAACTAATGGTTTTTGATTATCCGGTTAAGTTAATTATTTGAGCATAAAATTTAATAGTGGTACAAAAATGGCTTACAATTAAAACATTGGAGTTTTATTCAAATTTTGTGGAGGTAAAAACCGGGTTCTCAAACGCCTAACAGTCTGGTGAAAACTATTTCCTTTTCATTTAGTTTTATCTGTTGATCTTTATGATCTATAATTTATTATGGGTATTTTCTATTTGTTTATCTAAATTGCTATTTTCATTTAAATGCTTACGTGCTCGGCCGTCTGGGTGCCCACGCTGTGCAGGTGAACGGCTCTGGTGTTGAACCACTCGGCTGGAGGGAATTGGGCCGAATAGGTTTCAATCTGTCGCTGCTTGGCTCGACCGCTGCGTCGGAACAGGCGTGAGAGCAAAGATCCTTTTTCTAAATGAATAAATAACGACAATAAGAAGTGATATTCCATATTTGGGATCCCATAACTCACTGGGTGATGACGAATCTGTGCTTTGGTATTCCGAACTGCTGCTGTCCGTGGTGTTGAGCGTTTGGGCGTAGGTCTTGGACAGACTTCGTGTGGAGGCGCAGCGTTGCAGGCGCTTCGACGAGCCAAAGAGCCGCAAACTGTGCCGCCGTTCCAAGCTGCGCGGCGTCGGAAACGAGGCACTGCGTCGCTTCGCCGCCCTTGGATAGATGATCTTGTCATTGGGATTGCCTGTAAGTTATTTAATGATCGATAAGTGATGACATTGATTAGCATTGATGGAGATGTGTACTCACCGCCGCAGATCACATCCGCCAGATTCGTTTGGATGCACTGATGGGTGAGGTCGCCGTCCCGCTCCGTTGAGATTTCGCCGTAGAGTGAGTGCAAGGCCTCGGAATTGGACATGAGCATGGTGCGAGCCTCCTGGGGGACCACATCATCCCCGTGCTGCTGCTCCTCCTCCGCCAGATGACTGTAGGCCAGGCTCCCGTTCAGCTGGTGATGATTGCTGCGCGGCCTCGATCGACTCCGTCTGCGTCTGGAGAAAATCAGCATTTAGTCGGTGTATTTAGTTTATAAAAGACTATTCCACTTGATGTTTAAAAGCTTTACTATCTGAGAACGATTTCAAATTTCAAGTCAATTCGAAAACAATTGACTAAGATATGAAAATAATCTTTTGCTCATACTAACGAACTAAAACCTTTACAAGCTTTACAAGTTTAATACAAAAATTAATTGAAATTTACTGATGTTACTGATATTTTATTTGATCAAGATATAGTTTATCCCGTTAATTAAGTAAGTCTAAAAACATTTAGTAGTTTTATAAATTCGTATATATTTTCTACGAAAACTGCTATATATTTTTGGATTGTTTTAATACATATTTTTTTTCATATCACGTGGATGTAACCAATTAACCAGTTAAACTCACTCTGGTGTGAAGATAAAGTATCCCTTGGAGGTCTGGTAGATCTTCTGCTCCTGCATCAGCTGGGCGAGGGAGTCGTAGATGACCTCGGTGGCGGGCGTGGTCATGTGGGGGAAGCGGGCGCCCAGCTTGCCCCGCACATGCTCGATGGTGGCCGACTGACCCTCGGCGGTGAGGTCCATGATCACATCGCAGAGCGCCTCTGGAAGCGGCGTGAACTGTCCTTGAACCGTTGGCGTCACTATGCAATCGTCAATGTCACCTGGAAAATGTCAAGGGGAGAGGTGGTGTGGTCAGAAACACGGCGACATGTGCAATTGGCCCGCTTATATGGCTAATCACTGGACAGACGACTGCCCCATTTGGTCACCTAAACTTGCTCGCATTTTTTCCAACAAACTCGACTGTTTTTGCTGGCATTTTGGGTGGCCACCTGGGAGACTTGCCTTGGCTCGCCTGGCATTTTGGCCACGTTCGAGTGACGGGGTAATTAAACCGCCTGAATTGAGTTTGGCTTTTAGTTTGACCTCTCCGTTGCCGGGAGGTCATGCGAAATCTGCTGGAATATGCATGAGATGACTATCGATTCTCTGGGCTCAGTGAAAAATGCACTTAAAAATTTTAGAAAATAATGAATTAATATTGCAATATATTATATATGTATATGCTGTGCATTTTAAACGAAATTAAATCCGAAATTTCGTATATATTATATTGCAACATTCATAAATCATAAGTGTCACCTCACTTTAAACAAATATTTTTTTGATTATTTTACTATTTTTCTCTTTAATCAGAATTGGCGAATGTATAAATGAATAAAGAGAAAATTCACATATTGAATTTTTTTGTACTTTTTGTAAATGTTTAAATTGCTTTTTAAGATTTTTACTAATATAGTAATCTTATTGAAAACATCCTTTGTAATATGAGTATTTTGGTATAATCATGCATTAACGACCAGTGTTAAAAGCATTTTCTCCCTGTTATTGCAGCATCATCCGCTGGCATCGCCGTATATGGCAGTTGCATCGTTCACGCGGCGTATACTTAATTAAAACGCGCTCCCATCAGGCAGAAAAAATCAAAACAAAGAGAAGAGCGCTGCACACCTTGCTGTCGTTTGATTATTTTTACCTGGTGTTGCCGCATCGTGCCCGTAAATTAAATGCGCCTCCACAAACGCTTCCTACTTGCAACTTAACCTCTAAAAAAGTAGCAAAAAACCAACGCCAAGCAACGCCCCCGAGGCAAGTGTCTAGTGGCATGCCTCAAAATTGCAATAATAAACAGAGGTATATAGAGACAGAGACAATGACATAAGACAGAGAGGGGGTATGGAGGTGCGATGACTGCAAAATCAGACCAAGTGTGTGACGACCTCCGTTTTGGCCGGGCTAAGAGATGCAGGCACACAGGCGCACAGTCACAGGCACAGGCAAGCCTCTTGGCCACAAACGTCCTTGCGGCAGTTGCATAATCAATTTTTCAAGTTTTCACTTTCCGTTGCAGCCTGCGGCTGTAAAATTACACGGACAGAAATGTCATTTAAATTGGTACGAAATGGTATAACAATAAAAATGTCGTTGTTATTCCGGTAGTCAAATAATAAATTTTTAATCTCGATAGTTATTTCTATAGAAAAAAAGTTAACATTTGTTTTTGCCACACAAGCCATTGAATTGCTTCTATATAAAATGATTGAATTTATAATTTTACAAACTATTTTTAACCTTGATAGTTTTATGATAACGATTTTCATATAATTTTATGTTTTATTACCTACAAACCCTTAAAGTGTTTCTGTAACTTTATTAAAACCATCTTCTAAATTATAATAATTTATAAATAAATTGAGTTTAATTTATAAACTAGCTGTATACCTATATTAATAGGTTACTTCCATTAAATAAAAGGTTAGTGAACTAAGTTTTAAAATTACGGGTCCATGGTAACCCAGTACTACATTGTCTTAAGTTCCAGATTTGGAATCCCCTTGATATATTTTTCTCTGTGCACCTATACCCGGCAGCAATTTGCGCCATCAGCCAAAGACAAAATGCCATGTGGGATGCTCCGGCGTCAAGGACAATTAGCGGCAATATCCAACGCAGCTTGCAGTTGGTTGTTTTGAGTTAGCAGCTTGCAATTTTGACTTTGCAGTTGGCAGCAGCTTGCAGTCTTTTTCAAACGAAAATAAAAAAGGAAACAGTCTCCAGAAATCCGCCTTTCCCTCTCACCCCGCACTTTCACATCGCAAATTTGCTAAGCGATTAATCTTTGGGCCGCGCATTTGTGTGGCGTCACTTGGAGCTGCACTCAATCTCCATCTCGCCAGGCCCCAAAACATTTGTTGTCCGCCAGTTAGATGCATTCACTCCCTTTTTTCCACCAACCGGGCATCTTAGCCCCGGGTTTTGCTCGGTTCGGCGATTTATTTGCCTGCGCTTATCATCTGGCACACTCGCCTCTTTATTATACATTTCCCATTTGATTTCGCCACTCCGCAATTTGCCATTCGGCGCTGTTTGGCAGCAACGCCCTGATCATAAATTTGCCAGTGCAGTAGCCAAATTGGGGCTAGATAAACAAATATGAGAGATGGCTGGGCAAACACAAATAATATATGGATACTCTTGCGGCCACCAGATGCCCCGAGTCATCCAAAAGTTTGCGGCCAGAGGGGCAGAGTTCGAAATGCCTTTTGGCACTGGGTGCAGTTACATATTCGAAGGCTACATGAGAAGGTCATGGCTTTAAAGATTGAACTGAAATTTCATAACGGCAAATAGCCATACATACGAAATTTATATTTATTTATTTAAGCGGTTGTAAACTTTTAAGTACCTACGTTAAATTTAATACATCAAAATATTATAGCTCATCATAATAAGTACATTTTAAATTAGGAGCTCATAACTAATTAGTTACATTAAAAATATGTTTATAATATAGAAAATTTAATTTACTTTAACTTTATTATACCCAATTTTCTTTTTATCCGAATTAATGGCTTTTAAATCTGATTATTGTTTTACTTGTTATAATGATTTACGCCAGGCTTATTTTATGGAAGTGTGCAAAGGTATGGAAGATGTTCTTGAAACTTAATAGTTTTTTGAAATTAATATTTAATTGAAATATTGTAAGTTTGCCTTCGAACATGGTTGTTATGTAATTGGTCAGAATATTATTAGGTTCAGCAGTAAGCCGAATTCTTCTAAGAGGCTATGCCCTCAAACATCCCGTTTCTTTGTATCCATTAAAAATTATTTTATACAATCAAGATAAAGTAAATTTATAACTTTAAATAAATAAAGTGAAAGACCTATTTTAAACCTATTTTCCAAACATGTATGCATGTTTTAATATAATTTCAAATGACTGACACCGTCTTTTTTTCCAAATAAACTTAAACTTTTATGTTTTATAATAAATTGAATTGAATCCTAAAAATGCCACTTCAATTTCAAGCATGTTTTTGTTTTATAATAAATTGAATTGAATCCTAAAATGACACTTAAATTTCAAGCATTTTTTGTAGATGACTAAATTTTTCTATTATTTTCCCTAAAGCAGTTGCAACTGGTATTTTTAAGACGTATATGCATTTTCTAATATCCTTCCGAATAGCTGCAATTATGTTTTCTGGTCAAAAAAAACAAACACATTTTTATTTTATTGTAAGGTATAATAAACTGAGTTGAGCCGTAAAAATGGCGTTTAAATTTTAAGCATCTTTTTGTAAGGTGTCTGGAGTTTTCTATTATTTCCCCTAAAGCTGTTGCGAATGGCAGCATAAAAGATGCTGCATATTAATGAACCCACACCACACTCTGCCTACATCCGAAACCTGGCCAAGATCAAGGCTCTGTGCCAATCTTGTCTCCCGTGAAAATGCAACTGCCCCTCGAGCACGCGCAACCCACTTTCGTTGGCTGTTTCTCAGTGGATGGTTCGGTGGATATATGTATTTATATATCCTCCGATGGGGGAGTGTTGTTCGCAATTTGTTCGGCTTATCCGTGGGATGGATGTTTGCCGGCGGGCGTTGCCACCCCATCGCAATTAAAATTAATAAACGAATCGAAAGGCAAACTCGTGACGCCCCCGCTAAAACTCAAACGACACTGGCATTATCAATTGGCATTTCATTTTGATTTCCAAATGCATTTCTCTCCAGCCGCCGAGTGAGTTTCGCCGGGGATTTCGGTGTTTATCGTTTAAGGAAGTGTTAATTTATTTGCTCCTCTCTTGCATTCGCTGCCCGCCGGCCAGAAACAAAACGAAAACAAAGCTGGTTGGTGGGGGAAAAAATAGTAATAAATTGCCATCGATAGCCAAAAATTATTGATTATTTCGAAATGGACAGCGTTAAAAGTTTATGATGCTGCCGTGGCATCGCTGGCGGTTATGAGATCAAACAAAAAATACCCCATCCCTCCTCCCAAAACAAAAAAAAAAGAGCCAAGCGAAAATGTGCCAACAACACGATAGGCGCACAAGATTTCCTCCTTATTTTTTAAGTTTTTTCTTTTTCTAATAATAAGAGACAGCCACGAAGAAAAAAAATCATACATCAAGATTATTGTTACTCGCGGCAATTGCATCACAGTAATGGCCAACGAAGGAAAAAAAAAAAAAAGCAGCTGAAGACAAAAAAAAAAAATGGAAATCGCAAGAAACATTTTTCATTTGCATAAAAATTCATGGCAACTACAAGCGCTAAAAATGTTTGCCGCATGTTTGAGCCCCATGGGGTGAGGGGTGGTGGGGCGGTCGGGGCGATGCAGATGAGGGGGTGGGCCTGCCTTCAGTGGGAGGCAGTGGAAAACAACCTTCAAGCTACAAAACACTTGACTCCGAAAGCCAAAGCACCAATCCGGGATCCAAAAACTTAGAGTCCGTCGCGTTGACGGCGCTTTGGTTTGATTGAACACAAGGATATGTGTCCGCCGGCTAAAATAGCAGCAATACAAAAAATACAAAACAAAAAAAAACTAGCAATGAACTAAAAAACAAAAAACTTAAAAAATAAAACAACAATAACATAAGCCTAGGCAACAACAATTGCAACTGTGGCCACAATTTGAAACCAAAACGCAACACTTTCACTCTACTTAAGACGGATGAAGCTGCGGCAAAAAGGAGGCGGCTCCAGGAGGCGGAAAATGTGGGGAAAGGGGTGCTTAAAAAAGGGGTGGAAAAACCAGGGGGGGGGTTGTAGAGCAGAGAGAGGCAGGGACGGCAGGTTGCCTTTGA